ATCAAATCAATAGTACCAAGAATAGACCTCAATGAAAGCTATGGATTCGAGTAAGTATGTGTCAATGTAGGTTACTCAGTTGTAAGAAATGCTCCATTCTGGTGTCTGATGATGATGTGGGAGAATATGCATGTTTGTTGGGAGGGAGGAGGTGGAGGTGTATGTATAAGTGAAATGTCTGTACCTTTATTTTCATTTTGCTGTGAACCTAAAACTGCTCTAAAAAATAGTTTTTTTAACAAAAGCACAAACACATAAAATAAAAACTAAGAAATATAGTGCAACCTCCTTTTTGGAGATAAAAGTTTAATTTTTTTTTTACTAATTTAAAAAATTCAGTTAATATTTTCAAACATTTATTTATGCATTATTTACCGTTATTTTATTTATTTTAAAATGCCTTATACATCAATGTCATTTTAAAGTATGAGTTCTTTTTGCTTTAATATTCACTTGGTCTATACTGTACTCTAAATTTTCAGCTATTTCTATTTTCGTTAATCCTCAGTTGATGATACTTATTACTTTTAGAGAGAGAGAGAGAGAGAGAGAGAGAGAGAGAGAGAGAGAGAGAGAGAGAGAGGAAGAGAAAAGCATCCATGTGAGAGAGAAACATTGTTCAGTTGACTCTTGTATAAGCCTGGACCAAGACTGAACCCACAACCTAGGCATGTGCCCTGAGGGAGAATGGAACCAAAGAACATTTCCATGTACTAGCAATGCTCCTGCCAGCTGAGTCCCATTGACTAGGGCACTATTTGTTTCTGTTTGCAATGAGATATAAGTATTTCATGAGCATTTATTATTTAACAATATGCTTTTCTGGGTCATCTCTCATCTTGTGTAAGTTTTCTTTGTCATTTCATATATTTATGGGCTCTTTTCATTTTCCACGTATTTTTTTTATAAACTATGTTTTCACCTTCTATTTATATCTATTTCTATGACTAGGAAATGTATCTTCTTGAAATATGTTGGCCAAAATATGCTGGCACCAGCCCTGCTGGTGTGGATCAGTGGTTGAGTGTCAACTCAGGAACCAGGAGGACAAGGTTCAGTTCCAGGTCAGGGCACATATTGGGTTGCAGGCTAGATCCCCAGGATGGGGTGTGCAGGAGGCAGCAGATCACTGATCATCAATGTTTCTATCCCTCTTTCCCTCTCCCTTTCTGTCTGAAATCAATAAAAGTATATTAATTTTAAAATGTTTCAACAAATTTTATGAGTTGTAGATACTAGTAACACTTAAGTTGAGTAAATCTTAATTTAAATTAAGATTATTTTATCCTCTTTACAATACAGTTTAAAAACTCTCTCTCTCTCTCTCTCTCTCTCTATGTATATATATATATACACATATATATACATATATATATATTTAAAAATACATATATACTGTTATTACATACATGTAAAGTAGTGCACAGGAAACATGGAATATTTAGACTATTTATATTTGCACTGTAATTTCCTTGTTAAATTAGTGCATATCATATTTTATGTACGATGCAGTCTGAAATAATTTAAGATAAATCATCCTGCTTATGATGTCATGCCAGAAGACTATTTAAAAAATATATGATACAGAACAAGAATAGAGGGTGCCAAAAGTATGAATAGTTGTTTGTTTTCAAATAATTGATAGATATAAGGTAATGATATATTTACTGAGCACATACCATGTGCCAGACAATATTCAAAGGGCTTTAGATGTATAATTACCATAATTTTTTCAATTAGGAACTAGCAAAATCCATATGTTTATCTCACATAAAGGAAAGCCATCTTTCTACTTGTTCAGGCAAAGACTTAAGGATGTTCCTGAAATTTTATTTTTTATTTCATACACCTTATACTCGATCTATCAAGGATAGACATTGATCAGGATATGACATTGATTCTAAACACAGATCTGACTGGTTACAACACTTTCTGCCCTACCAATCCCACATCCCTAACAAGAAACCATCCTCTTAGTTTTAGGATTATTGCTGCAGTCTCCTAACTTGTCTCTGTGTTTTGACTTTATTCCACTTAAGTCTTTTCTCAGTGTAACAGCCATAGTGCTACACTAAGTTGGTTCACATCTACAAAAGACTTCAAGACTTCAAAACCTGCAAAACTTCTCTTCACACTAACAATGAAGCCTACCAGCTTTTACAAGAGTCCACTGGTCCAAAATGATCTTATCCACACTCCTTTCCTCCAAGAACCTCTTCCTTAGTATTCTATTCTTCATCCTCATTTGGTTTTGAACACATGACTTGTTAAGTCTTCCTGTACACACTAGTCTTGTTACTGCCTGGAATTTCTCCATTCTCTCCTCTTCTTCCTGACAGTAAATGAAACAACAATAGCCCTGAAATCATAAGTAGCTGTAGTGGGCTTTAGTATTGGGAAAACATTAAGAAAAATATGCTCCTGTTAATTTGTAATGGCAATGTCTATTGAGGAGGCATTAACATTAAAAATCACTTCTTGTCCCTCTTTTGCCTTATCTCCTAAGGTTACCTTCTTCAAGTAGTTTCTGGTTTTTAAATTTCCAGATAAGTCTGTCTTAGCTGCACTAAATTTTTGTTAGTATAAGGATTGCCCTTTCAAAAGTTCATCAATAATATAACACAGACAAACATAGTTCCTTTATCCATAACAACAAATTATCTTCTGAAATTCTGGAGAATTAATGGATTTCTTTGAAAGTGTTAATTTTTAAATAGATTTTTTTCTTTAACTTTAAAAATACATTTTTGTTGATTTCAGAGAAGAGGGAAAAGGGAAAGAGAGAGAGAGATAGAGAGAGAGGAGAGAGAGAGGGAGAGGGAGAGAGAGATCAATGAGGAGAGAGAATCATTGATTGGCAGCCCACAACCCTGGCATGAACCCACAACCCTTGATCAGAATAGAACCTGGGACCCTTCAGTCCCCAGGCCAATGCTCTAGTCCACTGAGCTAAACCAGCGAGGTTTGAAAGAGTTACTTTTACATCTGTATAAATTGATTTCATTATCATGAATTAGGTGATTCATAACAATATTTAAATCTTATTCCCAGTCTATCCCTTTTCAGATTTTTCTTTTGTTTCTTCATCCTGGACAAAAAATTCTCAATAAAATATTATACCTCTTTTCATATTTTAATTTTTCATTCATCTTTAATGAAATACTTGATATTTTTATATACAGAATACACCACAATAGTAAAATAAATAGCAGAAATATTGCTACATATATGAATTAGGTGATTGTCAAACCAGAATGGAAGCCTTTGCCATGGTTTCTTGTGCTGCCTTAAAGTATTTATCAAAGACTAATGTAACATTGGTCATAGTGCTTTGTGAAATTTTGGTCATTAAGTGAGGATTGGATGCTAAATATACAGTATAATAATAAGTATGCAAATCTATAAATGCACAAATAAGTATTTAATGAAGGTAAGAAAATGGTAGAAATTTATCAAAATGTGGTAACATTGACATTGTCAATTTGTACTTTGATTTCTGTTGCATTCTAATTTTTTTCTGATGAACATATTTCATTTCAATGGCTGTATCACACTTTTAAACATAAAAATGTTTCCTTGTGAAAAATGAACTACTCCATCTTTGATGCTTTCAGTCATAGAGTAATTATGTCTCTAGAAATGGTTTCTCCACCAACTCAGTGGAAAATATAAAGCATCACAATAAAATTGTGTGCCATCAAGGGAGAAAGGCAACTGTTTCCTCAGAACATAACAGAGCTGCAGTTAGTCCCAGTGTGATTTTTCCTTGGAAACATGCCAAGCAATCTTGCTTGGAACCTGATCTTCAGGGATGCCTCAATGTTGTGCTACCCTCTTTCCCCAGTATATGAGGTGCTTTGGAAGAGAGACAAGACGTACTTTGCTCCACTTATGTTCACAGCAGGTCCCTGATATTCCTTTTAAACATAACTGCCTGGCAAATTTTCCATTGCACCAGAAAATTTCTACTGATTTTTTTTAACCTCGGAATAAAAAAATAGATACATAAAAAATTACAAAGAACTTATCTCAAAGAAAAGAATATATTGCAGAAATTTTTGACTCGAATGGTATTTATATTTTATTTGTGAAAAAAACTTGACGTCGACAAATTTCTAGACAGATAATATTGAAGGAGGGGTTCTGTGGTGTGTTTTTTCTACCGGCTTTGGCTCTTGGTAAGTATTACTCTGAAAATTAGACAGTTTGGGTGAGGATCAGATAAAATGGGAATATTTTTAGAAAAGTGTTCATACACATAGGACTTAGACCTTGCCTTAAGTAATGCTAGGTTTTGTAACCAGAAATATAGAGCTGATGGATTTATGGTTTATAAGCAAGCTGTATGTTTTAGAAATATAATTTTTGGAAGAAGTCTGATTTTGAATGGTCAACTTAGTAAAACATATCTTTTGGAAATTAATAATTTTATGTGGTCTATAATTTTAGTCTTCTAAATTTAAAATTTGTGGTTAATAATAATTCTCAAAACAAAAGGACAGTAAGTGGTGCATTGAGATTGTTTTTCTATTATTGTGTATGACACATTTAGCCTTTTTCCTCAGGTTTGCTCAAATTAGAAATAGTAATATAGTATAAAAAACATGTTCTCTTGAGTTTATTTATCTTGGTGCAATAACAGACCAGCATTTAATATCTCTATTCTAAACAAGTGACTTAAACTGTTTGTGCCCTTTTTTATTTAAAAAAATGTGGGTAATAGTGACACCTCTTGATTAATATTTTCACATGGAGTAGGTAAAACAATGTAAAGCTCATTCTTATTATGCAATATGCTATTTATTTTATTATACTAAGCCCAAGGGATATTTTATGCCTATTTCTATATTTGAAAATCAAACTCAAATTTTTCATCATATTCTGCAAACCACTCATTATTATCAATTTTTAGAAATATTAAACTAATATAAATAACATCTTGAACTCATTTCTACCAAGTATCACACTTATTTCTCAACAGTTTGAAGCAGTTGAACAAAATGGATGGGAGGAATAGCACAAATGTCTCTCACTTCATCCTTATGGGATTGACAGACTCTGAGGAGATCCAGCTGGTCCTCTTTGTACTATTTCTCCTGATATACCTGACTAGTGTGCTGGGAAATGCAGGGATGATAGTGATAATCCACCTGGATCTCCAGCTTCACACCCCCATGTATTTTTTCCTCAGCCACCTTTCATTTATTGACCTCATTTATTCCAATATCATCACTCCTAAAACCTTAGAGAACTTATTGACTTCCACCAAGTGCATTTCATACCTGAGCTGCTTCACCCAGATGTACTTTTTTACCTTTTTGGGTTCCACTGAATGTTTTCTTCTCTCCTCAATGGCCTATGATCGCTATGTAGCTATCTGCAATCCTCTACAGTACCCAGTCCTTATGTCCAAAGGACTCTGCTGCTCCCTGGCCTTTGGGTCCTATTTTCTTGGCTTTATTAATTCTATTATCAATGCACTTTGCATGAGCACACTGCATTTCTGTGACTCCAATGTAATCCATCACTTTTTCTGTGACACTTCCCCAATTCTAGCCTTGTCTTGTACTGACACTCAAGACATTGAAATCATAATATTCATTTTTGCTGGCTCCACCCTAATGGTATCTGTTATCACGATATGTGTGTCTTATCTGTGCATTCTGTCCACTGTCCTGAAAATCACTTCCACTTCAGGAAAGCAAAAAGCCTTCTCTACATGTTCCTCTCATCTCCTGGGAGTCACCATCTTTTATGGTACTATGATTTTTACTTATTTAAAACCTCGTAAGTCCTATGCCTTGGGAAAGGATCAAGTGGCTTCTGTTTTTTATGCTATTGTGATCCCCATGCTGAACCCACTCATTTATAGTCTGAGGAATAAAGAAGTGAAAAATGCTCTCATTAGAGTTATGCAGAAGACAGAGGGCTTCAGGCTATTAAAATAACAGTGATGCTAAACTGTTAACTGTCTATAATTTTAGTCCTCTAAATTTAAAATTAATTTGTGGTTAATAATGAGTAATTCTCAAAACAAAAGGACAGTACTGATGCATTGAAATTGTTTTTCTATAATTGTTTATGACACATTTAGCATTTCCCCTCTGGCTTGCTCAAATTAGAAATAGCAATACAGTATAGCATATTACTTCTGTTCTTTCTTTTCTGTTGGGTATTTCTTTGGTCTCTTAAAAAACTGTCAAGTTCTTTCATTTTTTCTATTTCTGTGGAGCCATCCTTAATCAAATATTGGCTATGTTCTGCAATATGTCTTTTCAAATCCACATTGTAATTGCAAACTATAGAATATGTGTTAAATCCATGGTCCAAATATATATGTGTTTTTAAGAGAAACTGATGAGAAATTATATATGTGATCTTTTGAACCCCATCCAGCATACAAATTACCATGCATACCTAAAATGACAAAGAATTTTATTATGAAAATGAGGTCCAGTTGGCACACTGATAACAATTTCAGAAATAATTTTATTTTATTATAAAGAGAAGAAATGCATTAGAATGATTATGAGCACTGGCTTTTTCTCCTCTTCATCCTGGAACTCCCTTTTTATAGATCACTGCACTGTATTTTCTAGTCTCTTCTGAATAAGAACATTTGGTGTCATCTTATTTTAAATTGTACTAGTTGCTCCTATCCCTCTTTCATGCTTCGTTTGTTTTCCAAGACAGTTATCTCCTCCTAACATTTTACATCTGTAGCTTGTGCCTTTTGCTTCTGCTCTGCCCCCCACACCCAACTCTCCCATAAGCTCAACAAGCACAGGCCTTGTTTGATGTTGTTCGTTGTTTTATGCCCAGCACTTGGAACAATACCTCAGTAAATGTATCTAAAAGCCAGATCTTACAGATGATGAAACTGCAGCACAAGGGATGAAATAACTAGTTTGTAATCACTCCATTAGTCAAAGAACAAGCTCCTTTGGAACCCAGAGAGTCTAGAGTTCACATTCTTCATCATCACTCTGTTGTAAGAGTGGTGGAAAGCAGAATTAATCATTATATTAAGGAAGGCATAAATCAAATACCAGGAACCTTTGCAAGGTGTATGTGGCTCGTAAACACTCTCAGAACTGCTGATAGAAGACAATGTGATTTTGGCGACATTTGTTCAAGCTCCTCAAACCCACAGAAATAGTCTTATTTTCAGGAAGAATAATCCTGGCAAAGAAAAGACAATTTCATGATGGAATGATGCCAGGAAGAGAGTCTGCATTAGTACGAGGTCAGGGTATCCTGGTATTACAAAGGAATTCAGAAACAGAGTGGATCCACAAAAGAAAACATATCCTTAGTTAAAACCTTACAGAATTTAGCTGACTCGGGTTTGTCCATGGTTCTTCTTCATGTGGTCACCATGGATACTGGGCTTCTTTTCGCCTTCATATGTTATCTCCCAGATGCTGTCCTCTTCTGTGTGGGAGAAGAGGGTTCACCCAGCACTCTGCACACTGCTTTCTGAGAATGAAGTGCCATTTTCACGTTGGAAAAACAATTCTCAAACTTTTGTGCATATAGTGATGAGAGGCTTCCTACATGGCTTTTAAGGAATATGGTAATTTATTTAATAGATGTGAGCATCTTTAAGCAATTGCATATTTCTTTTCCTTATCAAAATTATCGTCAAAGAGGTGTTTATAATATTCTATTATTTTTATTACAATGTTTGTAGGGACCAAGTGTTTACTTTTTCTTATTTCTAATATTGGTAATGTGTTGTTGTTGTTTTTCTGTTTAATGGTGACCATAGGAATGATAATATACATGTTTAATGTATCATTGTCAATTGAAAATAACATATGGCATAACTTTATTTTTTATTAAATTATTATCTGTGTACATGTTTTACCATTTCCCCCCTCCCATACATTCCTACCATCCCCAGAGTTTTGTGTCCATTGGTTGTACTTATATGCATGTATACAATCCTTCAGTTGATCTCTTATCTCCCCCAGATCTCCTTCCCCGCTGTAATTTGGCAGTCTGCTTGTTGCTCTTACTGTCTCTATATCTCATAGCAGCACAATCTACAATAGCTAGGATTTGGAAACAGCCTAGGTGCCTGTCAGCAGATGAATGGATTAAAAAAAAAATACTATGGTATATCTACACAGTGGAATACTATGCTGCCATAAAAAAGAAGGGATTCTCATCATTTGCAGCAACCTGGATGGAATTGGAGAACATCATGCTGAGTGAAATAAGCCAGTCAATGAAAGAGAAACACCACATGACCTCACTCATTTATGGCTAATAAAGAACATTATAAACTGATGAACCAAAAGATAGATATAGAGCATAACTTTTAATATAAGAAACTTAGAGTAGTAAAGATCAACTTCTTCTCACCCAACTTTGTGCTAATTTTTTCATAAAAAATCTTCTTCGTATGTTTTAAACTCCCAATATATCAGCATAGTTTTATTTTGGTCATTCATTTTTAAGCCAATTAAAATTAAAAATTCAATATTTATTACATTTTTTAAAATATTTGTATTTTTTGTCTTATTTAACTTTGGTGTAAACCCTTGTTTCCTTCTGTTGTCATATTTCTTTTCCTTGGAATATCGTGGGAGCACAGTCTTCTGGCTAAAACCCATTTCAGTGTGTTTGCACTGCATACTCATGCATGTGATCAAAGAATGCCCTGGAAACATACAAAGAACAACAACAAAAACATCATCAACAAAAGTTATGTTACCAGTGGAGATTGAAAATCTCTAGTTATAGATCTAAGAAATATACATTAAAACCCTAAATCTCCCCAAAGCATTAAAAAAAAAAAAGTAAAAAAAACAAACCCAAAAACATCCTGCTAAGTGTGTATATTTATTTCATTTAGTATGAGGAAGAGAAAAAGGCTCAAAGAAGTCCCACCTATGTAAACAAATGAGAAATATGTTATAAATATTTATTGATAATAAAAATATATTGGGAAAATACACCATAAGGAAACACAGGTACACACAAACTAATTAAGAATCTCTAAGATGAATTGCACATGACATAGAAAATATAAGCAAGAGTATGTGTAAAAAAAATGAGATTTCATAAAAAGAGCTGCTTAAATTCAAGAAAGACTTACAGGACAACAGACTGACAGTTGTCAAAGGGGAGGGGCTTGGGGCTCTTCAAAAAAAGTGAAGGGATTAAGCAGTAAAATGGTTAGTTACAAAATAGTCACAGAGATGTAGATTATTACAGTTAGGAATCACAAGAACAAGCTCAACCCCAATACAGTTTTTGCCATCAGTTCAATTATACACTTTGTACAGGAAAATTAGATAATATTTGGTATCTGAAACAGGAAAATTAGATAATATTTGGTATTTGGTACTCAGCTCCATAATTTAGTTATATGTGATGTTAGGTTTGTCTTCCAAAATTTACTCTTCTTTCAAAGAGCAGTAAAGTTAAATGACAAAGCAGACACAATAATGCACAGCTAGGCAGATTAATTAAATATAAAAAACCATAAATATTTAAAGCAACTTATTTTAAATATGTCAAATTTTGTTATAAATTTAGGATGCTCTCATAAGTGAACTTTTGTAATTACATTTGTTTATTAAAAAAAATTAGCACATGTTGGACTACAACACTGTTATCTACACTAATAAAAGAGAAAAATTTAAATTGACCGTAACTCCATGTTCCTTACCAGCCAATCAAGAGTGAGTATGCAAATTAACCCAATAAAGATGGCGGTTGATTTGCATACACAGGTGCTGAGCAGCTGGGGGCCTTTGGGCAGCGTGGAAAAGCAGAAAGGCGGATCTCGGCAGAGTGAAGGAAGAAAGGCAGCTCCGGGCTGGAGCAAAGGTGGTGCCAGCACCCGGGGAAAGAAAGGCCCATTCTTTGTGCATCAGGCCTCTAGTAACTACACAATTAAAAGACATAGTTGGGGGCTTTACACTAGATATCTTTCTTTAGCAACATGTGAAATATTTATTTTTGTGATAATTAATATGCACTTAAACATTTTTCTATCAGATTAAATCAAATGAATTATATTATGATTCTCATTTTTCCTCTGTGCACTTTTTACATGTCTGGATTGGAAAATAAAGAAGCTTTGTGAGTTGCATAACCTGTTACTTTATTAAAAAAAAAAAAAAAAGACAACGACACAGATCAATACAATTCCATTGGCCACATGGTATAGTAGTGGGCTTATTTTGCTTTGAGTAAATAAGATAACGAAATTACTATGTTAAACATTTTGGTTAAATTTATCTTAAAACTGTCATTTCATTTAGATGAGTATGACTAAAATTTATCAGAATATATTGAAAAGACTCAGAGTTATAAAGAGAAAGTGATTATGTACCATAAAGAATTTAGTAATATAGAATCAATTTTTATAGTTAACTAGAGGCCCCAGTGCACAAAATCCATGCACGGGGGGGGAGGGGGCATCCCTCAGCCCAACCTGTTGGATCAGGCCTAAATGGGCAGTTGGACATCCCTCTCATGATTTGGGACTACTACCTTCCCACTCACCTACCCTCCTGCCTGATTACCTCTAAATACTTCTGCCTGTCATCCTGATCACTCCCTAACCACTCCCCCGCTGACCTGACCGCACCCAACTGCTCTCCCCTGCAGGCTTGGCCCCCCACTCCCTCCAACTGCTCTCTTCTGCCAGTCTGGTTGCCCCCAACTGCCCTCCCTGCTGGCCATCTTGTGACAGCCAACTTTGACCACATGGCAGTAGCCATCTTATGTGAGGGTGGGTGGATCAATTTGTATATTACCTCTTTATTATATAGGATTATTATTAATTCTGTCATAGCTTATGCTTTCAGATTCTTTCATTACATACATGGTTAGAGGATTTTGAAACACATAAGTTAAATTCCCAAAAAGATGAAATTAGATTTTAGGGAATTTCTCACTCAAATTAGCAACCATTGCACATAGTTAT